TGGCCCAGCCACAGCCGCAGGAGCCTGAGCCAGCCTGTCCTTCCCCCTAGGATGCAGCGGTGGCCAGTGCTGCTCTTCTTGGCCTGGGTCTGCTTTCTCTTTTTTGCTGGCATTGGGCTTTTCATGAGTGGCTTCCTGCTCACCCGCATCGAGCTTGACATCAGCAGTTCCTGTGCAGACCCGCTCCTGCCGCCACCCTGGGAGAGGCAGGGCCTCCCGCCGGGCTCCTGTTGGGCACCCCAGCGCTTTTCCAAGGCAGTGATTGTTATCATCGACGCCCTCCACTTCGAGTTTGCCCGCTTTAACCCAGCCAAGACCAGCCCGCTGCCCTACGAGAACAAGCTGAGCTTCCTGCACCACCTGGCGACCTCCCAGCCTCACCATGCCCGCCTCTACCGCTTCCGAGCCGACCCCCCCACCGCCACCATGCAGCGCATTAAGGGCCTCACCACCGGCTCGCTGCCCACCTTCATCGACGTGGGCAGCAACTTCGCCACCTACGCGATCCAGGAGGACAACCTGCTGGCACAGCTGGTGCAGAACGGTAGGTGGGCAGGGGTGGTGTCCTGCTGGGACAGGACACGTGCAAGCTTCTGGTCAGCGCACACACGGGACCTTTAGTCCTCTCTCCCTGGGAAGGGAGCTGATTACAGCACCTCCACCCCATCAGCTAATTCTTTTGCCCTACTCAGATGATAGTTATCTCAGGCAGAGCTGTCACACAGGCAGGGTTTCTCCATGTTACGCTGGGAGTAAGAGGTAGCTGGGACTGTGGTTTCATCTTCTTTGTCTTCAAAGATGATGAAAAAGCATGTGAAAGTGGCTGTACTGATGGTGACTGTCACAAGGTCACCAGCAGTAATGTCTGTACGAAGCCAAGGGCAGTAGTGTTTGCGTTCAGGTGAGACACATGATGAAGGAGGAGCCAGTGCGAGGTGTGCTGTGGGGGTGTCCCTCAGGCACCAAGCCTGCCTGGCTAGCTGCCTGCTGCTTTAGGCAGTGACCTCATCGCATTTTCTGTGTAGTTTGGTCCTGCTGGGGTGTGCTTATTGCAGCTTTAAAGGGCTTGTTAGAGTGGGATGATGGAGAAAAGGTGACAGGGCATGCTCTTGTGTCACCCAGAAAGATTCGGAGGCTCAGAGTGGCCTGGGATGAGAGAGTGTGAGTGGGTTGTCCACTTCCCTGTGTGCGAGCAAGGTGGGCAGCTGCAGTAAATCATTCGAGGCAAAAAATACTGGTAGACTGTGCCAGAGCAGCAGCCTCAGAGAAGAGGATTGCTGCTCCCAGGCCGAAGAGACTCTGTGGAAACATGGAAGGCTGGCTGGTGGCAGGCAGGGCAAGCAGCGTAAGGGCAGTCGGAAGCATCAGTGGTTTTGCCTTCTCTTTTCCGCGCATGAAAAGCTGCTACTGTTGTGTTTAAAGCCAGAGCCCAGGACTTGTGGCTTCTACTCAACCTCTGTCAGCGGCCATCTACTGCCTTGCATTTTACAGTGGGGTTGCGGGCCTTGGGCAAGAGTTTGTCTGCTTTGTGCTGCACCTCCCTAAGTGCTGCAGTTGTACAAGTGGGTACCTGCCTGCTTCCTGGCCTGTTCAACCCACAGGTCTTACTGCTGGGGTGACGTGTCAGAGGTCAATGACAAGTTGTGAGGTTGTGCAGGTGGATTTGGTGTGGGGGGCACTTGTGGACTTAGAAACAGGGCTGGTCCCTCCTCATATTCAAACTCATCTATAACCAGATGGTCATTTTCATTTTAGGTTGCTATTGAGCGTGGGTTAGAGAGGAGCCAGCGCTCCAGATCCTGACCTGGATCTGCCCAGGCTCTTTGCACTAGTGCTGGTAACAGCAAGACCCCGGTGGGCTCTCTGCTTTCATTAATTCCTTTCTTGCTGACTCAGGAAGGAGAGTGGTCTTCATGGGTGATGACACTTGGGAAGGGCTCTTCCCGAAGAAGTTCTTCCGCTCGTATTTCTTCCCTTCTTTTAACGTGAAGGATCTTCACACTGTGGATGATGGGATCCTACAGCATCTCTATCCAACTGGTAAGCAGCTCTTCCCCTGCGGCCTGGGTAACCGCTTACGTTAGGTGGGGGTCCTACTGCAAGTTTGGGGTAAGACTGAAAAGGCTTTTCTGTTACGAAGTGGCACTAGGCAGTCACGCACTGCTGCCTGGGGATTACAGTGATGATTTCCACAGATAATTCAGCTTTTGGAGCCCATCAACTGTTTCTGTAAATACCTTTCCTCTGTTTGGGAAAGAGTGCAGCTTGATGGGACAAGGTTAGACTTCTACATCTGTCCTAGAAATACACTGCCAGGATGGAACAGGAGGAGCAGCTTAACGCTGACACGTGGCTGCCTGTGCCTGGGAAATGCACAACAGTGCAGCTACCTGCTGGAAGGTCGGGGTACAGCACTGCTCTCAGTGGTTCCTAGTTGTGGGAGCAAGGTGAAGTGTGAGATTGGTTTGTGAATTTTAAGTGATTTCAGACTCCTTCCCGAGGTCCTGGGACTGAGAGGAATGATCTTTGCTTTATCTGTATATGAATCTAAGTAAATCAGGGGTGCAGTGGCCCTTCATGGGGAAGTTCTTATGCCTTGTGGGAGACCTACAGTTCATCATGTAACTCCAAATATGTTGGGTTTTGTGTGTTGAGACCCTGAAACGGAGGGGAGGGGCCAAGATAACTTTCTAGCTAGGGACAGCATTGGTGTGTCGGGCCTGTATCCTGATGGGATGCAGAGGGGCACATTGATGAGTCCAACGTGAAATATCTCCAGTGGAGGACTGGAGTTCTGGCTGCTCCTTTTCATGAGCAACTCCTTGGTTTATCTCAGTTTGTGGCAGTTTGAGTTAAGGGTATTTCAAGGTGACCTGGGTGGCATTGGGCCATTCCCCTCCTGAGGGGTGATGAGCAAAACCCATGGATCCTGGAGTGCTTGCTGGGTGTTTTGCTCCTTGTGGCATTGCATTCAGGCACCTGCAGGCCTGGAGTGTGCCTCTGTTAAAATCTGCATTGATCTTGTCAGGGTGACAACAGCAGTTTCCAGAGGCAACCAGAAAGCTCTGGCAGGAGGATCCAAGTGCAGAGCCCGTGCCTGAATCCTGGCTAGTGTGTGATAAGGCTCCTCTTGTTCTGCAGTGGACAGTGGTGAATGGGACGTGCTGATTGCTCACTTCCTTGGCGTGGACCACTGTGGGCACAAACATGGACCTGACCATCCCGAAATGGCTAAGAAGCTCACCCAGATGAATGAGATGCTCAGGTGATTAGTGTGATGGTGGTGCGTTGCCAGTTGGCCTTTTCCTTCAGCCAGGCTGGTGGGGTCTTCTCAGGGAATTTACAGATGCAGAGGGCAGCAAGGGATGCTTACTGTGCCTGTTAACATGGAGAACAGCTTCAGCCAGCAGCAGCTGAAAACCTAGCTGTGGAGCAGCCTCAGTTATATAGACACATGTTCACGAGAGGTTTGGTTTCAGAGGTAAGGCTGTCTTCAGGTCTTGGAGCCTTGGTTCTCAGCCAGACCATCGGGTGGTGGTGCAGCTGAAGTACAGCTGATCTTTCCTTCTTTAAAATGGAAATTGTCACACTGAGATTTGGCTAATGTTTGAGAAGCACTTGAGGACTCTGGCTAGGGAACGCTGCATTAACTGCACAGGCCTGGGAGTTACACCTTTGTGTCATAGGGCAGGACGGGATCCAGAAATCCTGATCACACAGCCATGCCTCAGCCCAAAATGCTGTGGCTTTTGACTCTTAGGCCAGCTCTAATTTTTACTGCTAGAAAGAGTAGGTAACGTGCCCTGATGCATCTGAGAGTGCAGTGTATATCATCCTCCAGGGACAAATCCCCTCTTTTTTTTCCTTAAAAGTAGGAGGTTGCTCACACAACGCGATGTGATATACAAGAGCCAAATAGAAGCAGCCTAAAATTTGTTCTCCTTGGGAATGTTTCTTCTGAATTATGTTTTATCGAGATCCCTGAAGGCACTGAGGAACCAGACACTGTTCACTGGGGACCTAAGCAAGATCAGTCCAGTGTCTCTCAGGGCTCTGAATTTTCAGTCTGATTTTAAAGCATCCATTGCCCTGGTACCTGGCTCAGTTGTTATAGCTCTGTGCCAGCACTTCGTTTTGCTTATATCCTTTCGTGGGCTTCGCATCTGTGATTCAGGCATGCTTGGTGGGGACGCGTGTCCTCTCCCACCCTGGGCTCTTTGGGCCCTTGCCCAGGTAGGAGTTGACCTTCCTTATCCCGGTGACAGGTCCTTGGTGGATCACCTGGGGAATGACACCCTTCTTCTGGTGGCTGGGGACCATGGCATGACAGAGACCGGAGACCATGGTGGCGACAGTGAGAAGGAAGTGAATGCAGCGCTGTTTGTGTACAGCAAAACACCCCTCTTTGTCACTGTCCCTCCAGAGGTGAGAAGAAGCTGATCCTTAGCTGTCACTGCCTGAGGTGGCATCCAGGGTGAAAACTGCATCCTGGGGTTACAGAGAGTAATGGTTTGATTGGGATTGTTTAGGTTGAGAGGAGTAGGTTGTCTGTCACCTTTCCTGAGCAGTGGAAAGGCTGACACAGGATGCAGGTAGCTGAAGTGTTTGGGACCCATCTTCAGGCCCCTCCAGCTGCAAGGTGTGTTTGAGTGGGGCCAGGTGAGCTGTGAGGCATCCAGGGCTGTACCCAAGGACCTGCAGCTCCCAGCAGGCATCCTCCCCTCCA